ATTTCACGGGATGAGAATTGTTTTCCTCATTTACCCGATAGAGAAACTGAGTCACTAAGTAGTTTAGCAATTTGCCAAAGGTCTTACAACTGAAAGCAGCCAATCACCACAGATCACTGGGCCCCAAATCTGATCACTTCCTGTCTGCTGTACTTCTAGTGTATAATTCGGTGTTGTACAGCTGCTGTGAATGTCCTGGCAACCGTACATCCCCGGGAATATGAAGAATTTCTGAGGAGGGAATCTCATTTTCTATGAGATGGGCAGGGAAGGGGTTGGACTAATCGCATCTAGTTGCTATGGGGCAGGGAACCACCATTTTAGAGTTGGGTTCTGTTCTAAGTGAAACTTCCTAGATGGAAATGCGTTCCTTCTCACACTGCAGATTCTGAATGTGGCAATGGCTCCTGTCTTGAGCACTATATTGAGGACTGAGAGAGCATGCAATAGGGGGGGAAAGTGATTTTTCAAAAATGCAAATCCAATCACAGAAGTCCTTTGAGTAAAACCCTTCCATAACTTTCCAATGCCCTCAGGCCATGGTAAGGATGTGGGTCTCTTAGCCCTACCACCTACCATAATAGCCTTCTCTCAGCCACTCCTCTTTTATTTATTTTTTTTAATTCCAGCCACACGTACATTCTTCTGTTCACTCTTAAATTTGTAATCTCTCCTGTCACAGGACCTTTGCACATGACCTTTCCTCCTGACTGCTTCATCTGAACAACTCCTCCTCTCCCTTCAGACTTCAGATGAAACACTTCTTCCTCAAGGAACATGTCCTGATCTCCCCAGCCAGGTGCTGAGCCTCCTGTTAGGCACACTCATCACACAACATACCACTCCTTTGAAATACCCGTCACATGTCTAACTGAACTACTCTCTCCATGATTACTTATGGCCACTGCCCTCTCTAGATCTGCAATGTCCAGTATAGTAACCACCGGTCACAGATGGCTATTGAGCACTTGAAATGTGGCTATGATGGAGAAATTGAATTTTAAATTTTCTTTCATTTTAATTAGTTTAAATTTAAAAGCTAGTGTTTGATTTACCCAATGGAAATTTCAAAAGCTTGGAACAACCTGAGTATGTGAATCTACTTTTCAATTGTATATTTTATGAACTCTAAATATAGATCAACTATTTCCAGAAATTTAGCATCTTAATTGAGATGTGCTATATGTGTGAAAACCACACTAAATTTTGAAGACTCAGTATGGAAAAATAATGTATAATATCTTATTAATAACTGTATATTGAGTATATGCTGAAATGATAATCATTTAGAGATAATGGAAACAAAATATATTAACAATAGTTTATTAAATTAATAAGTTTATGAAATTAACAGGTTAATTTCTCCTGTTTTTTTATACTTTCTAATGTGAAGCCTAGAAAACCTAAATTATATATGCAGCTCACATTATATATTTATTGGACTGTGCTGCTCTAGACTGTAAGGAAGGTCCTTGAAACTGGAACCAGGTATCTATTTAACTGTTTTATGCTCAGTATTTAGCATAGTATCTGGCTAATAATAGGTGTTGAATTAATATTTGATTGACATTTGAATAAATGAATAATTATCCAATACCTGTCAAGGTTAAGAAGAGAGGATGGCACATGTGCCCTATGTTTTCTAACTCTGTGCTTTTTTTGTCTTTGCCTAGCATACAGCCTTGAAAATAATGATAATAACTACAACTATCCTTCTTAGTTACTTACTATGTGCAAAGCACCTTTAATTGATCTCAGATTTGTTGTAAAAATTAGAGATAATGTTTGTGGAGGAACTTGTGCAAAGCCATTATTAATAGACACCGTTTACTCTATGCTTGCTTATGAATGAGTAAACAAACTTACAAAGCCCAGCAAAAGTCAGGAGAAAATATTTCTAGGTCTCTGTTGCCTTGAACATGAATATGAATCCAGTTTTATCAAAACTGCTTGCCCCAGCTTAGAAAGGCGTGTAGGGATTTTTAAGTATAAAATCTTGGAATAGAAACAAGGAAAATATTCTATTGACAAGAAAGTAGGTTGCTCAGGTTACAACCATTAAATTAGATTTAAAACGCTGAAGACACACTTGCCTTCGGGAGCTTGAGATATGGTCCAGGCCGCACTCCCGCTCATCTGCGATTTAGCCAAATAGCCTCCAAAAGGACCACAAAGCCAGATTAATTAGAAATAGATCAAGCTCTATGTTCTTGGGCTGTACAACCTTCCAGGCCAATTTTCTAAGCTTCCAAGCTCAAGAAAATACACTTTGTATTTGGCCACACGCTTTGCTCTCAACTTAAAAACCCATATGTATATTTTAATGTCAATTTAATCCATATGGTTCAGATTATTTGCATTAGATTCATCAGAAGCAATTTTTGAAAGAAGCTACAATTTAATAACTTCCTCCGTGTGCTGCGCTAGACTTGAACTCCTCCCTGGGTTCCTCCAACAGACTGTGCTGGATGGAATTTGTATTAAATAAAGGCAACATGGAGATGGGGAGCTGGGACCCTGAGGCCCGACCGCCGAGGGTCAAATCCCTACCACACTAGTTCAGATGTGTTTGACTTCGGGTTGACTTTCCTTGTCTATAAAATGGGTCAAGAGTACATCTCCTGAGGTTATTGTAAAGGTTCACCAAGTCTATGTAAAGCAATTATAGAAGCCTCACTGTGTGCCTGGCACTATTTTAACCATTAGCTATTATTGTGACTACACTGATGCTGCAAGTGACAGACAAATAACTTTGGAATGGCTTGTACAGGTACGTTTTTTTATCTTACACATAAACACAGATAGTCCAGGTCTGGCATGTGATCCCACCTCACCAAAACCTGATTCTCCCTACCTGCTGCTCCACCTGTCGGCACACAGTTCTCCCTTCCGATCCAAGAGGCCAGGAGGAGGGAGGAAAGAGGAGAAAACCACACATCCTCCCTTGAAGAACACTCGCTAGAGGTTGTGCACACCACTTCTGCTTACGTCCCATCGTGTGTAGTCTTAAAGGAGACTAAGAAATGTAACTTTTTAATTCTGTTATTATTTAGTCTATTATTACTACTGTAAAAAAATGGAAGAACAGATATTAGGGACAATTGGTGGTCTCTGTCACTGAGTCATGGGGGGAGACCAAAAGCGCCACCTGGACCCAGGATACATTCCACATGGAGATCTTTGGATAAGGGAATGTGGTTTAAGGAAACTACATCTTTAACACAGTACTCAGCCGACTTCGCATTCTGTTGGCTTATAAATCTCATAAATATATGCTGAATAAAATACTAAATAAATGTTTATTCTAATTATTGTACAAAAGTGACCGCAAACCTCTTCTCTCCACTCTCACCAGAATTCTATCCGTGGAAGGTTTCGGATGCTTGTGGATTTAGAAAGAAAAGGAAGAGCTGGCAACGTAGAATCCTGCTTCAGTTTGTTTGCTTAAAAAAGGCTCCTCCAACACCCAAACGCAGTCCCATTCCAAAGCCCCGCTCCAGCCCTTTCGCCTGCATCCTGGCCGAGAAGTGATGACACCGCAGCAGGCTTGGGGTGCTGCCCCAGAAACTGCCCGCGCCCCACCCCGTCTGAGCCTCCACAAATAAAAGATGTTGACAAGACAGACTCAGATAATAGGAAACATATTTTTGGCTGGTGAATTCGCTTTTTGGTCAGACTTGAAGACTGTAGCAGATACTCTGGGAGCCTCCCCAGCATCCTACCCCACTCTCTCCTCTGAACAGAACTGTATTTCCCAGCCTTGTGGTTCAGTTCGGGATTGGCTTAAGTCAATCAACGGATCCAACACCGTGTCCACAATAATTATCTCAGAGCTGGGCATGTGATCGGATAAGTTGTGAAGGAAGACGAGGGGACCGTGGAGAAAGAACCTTCAGTTGATGCTGACTATTCTCTTGGGATCGCAAAAAAATATTCATTGGATTACTAGCCTATATTACATAGAAACTAGAGTGCCAAGGTGAAAAAAAACAGCGCAGAATGGCATTGTTGAGTCAGTGGATTGAACCTTACCTAAAGCCCTTCATGCCTTTGGGCTTGAAATTCACAAGCCAGTAAATTCTCCCTGTGGCTTAGGCCTCCTGAGTTGGGGTTTCTGTTAAGTCCTGTTCTGATGGACACTGTCATTCAATGAAACCTGGAAATATTTAACACGAGACAAATGAACCAGGAAGCCAAAACCAAACATCTCTCATATCTGCCATACCAGCATTGAAACACTGCCCTACCAATTTATCACTTGGGTGAGCACAGGCAAGATGTCTGAAGAAAGCACGAGACTTAGTTTCTAAGTCAGGAAATTGGGGATAGCTATAGGGATAACTATATTGATCTCACAGGACTGTTGTGTGTGTAATGCCATCCAACACAAATGAAATTGCCCAGAACCAAGCCTATTTCCCCGACAGAGAAATCGATAAAGACACAATAAAGTCACAGACAAAGGGAGAAGTAAGATTTATGTTTACTGAGAACTAAGTTGTGTATGAAGAGTGTCTCTAATTGGGTATGATGAATGTCCACGCAGGCAAGGAGGAAGACGGACAGACCCTGATGAACAGCCGTGAACCCAGACTTCACATCACAAAGATGATAGAGACCCCAGACATTCCCCAAGTAAAATTTACATATAGTTAAAAGAAAATTTCTTATGATATACCTCTGTCGGTTTTGACAAATGCATAGAGTTGTGTAACCACCATCACACTCGAGGTATGGACAGTTCCATCATCCCCAAGTTTCCTCATGCTCCTTTGAAATTATCCCCGAATCCTACCCCCAAAAGAGCAACAAACCACTGACCTGTTTTCTGTCCCTGCAGTTTAACCTTTTCCAGGATGTCATATAAGTGGAATCATGTATTAGGTAGCCTTTGAGTCTGCTTCTTTCCCTTAGTATAGCGCATTTAAAATTCATCTATGCTGGGGTATAAATCATACTTTGTTTTTGTTGCTACCCATGAACATTTCATTAAAGCCTACCTTCTTCTTCGCTGTATACTCCACAGGATGATGGCTGTGGGCACAGACCAGTTTCCAGTTATCATTTTCATGCCTCCAAATTTGTATATATATCTGGAACTGTTGGAGGAAAACAAGCATGTTAGAAGAAGAGGAAGAGAGAGCCAAGATCTTTAGATATCTCTTTCTCTCTCTCTCTTTCTCTCTACCTCCCCCCCCCTCCCTCTCTGCCTTCCTCTCTCTACCATGTGAGAACACAGTGAGAAGGTGGCCATCTGCAAGCCAGGAAGAAAGCTCTCTCCAGAAACCAGCCCTGCCAGACCTTGATCTGGGCCTTCTGGTCTCCAGCGTCTGTGAGAAGACAGATTTCTGTTGTTTAAGTCACCCAGACAGTGGTTCTGTATCATGGGAGGTATCCAGCAGACGAATACAGAATGACCAAGAAGAAGACCTGGAGCTGGTAATTAGTGAGGTAAGTGTGGTTCCAAACATCTGTTTCTTGTGTGTGTGTGTGTGTGTGTGTGTGTTTCTTGAGGATGAAGATAATCTTCCATGCAGGCTCACTATGAAGACTGAACTACATGGATAATATATGCAAATTGTTTATCACCTTGACACCTGGAAATGCTCAATATATGGCACTTCTTACTGGCCAGCTTGGTCCATCCCTGCATCTAATGTCCCTAACATATAGGACACTCAGGAAATATTTGCAAAAAAATAACTGAAATGTAATTGGACATGCTAAGGGACAGCTAGGCATTTTAATTTTTAAGTTGTATAATGAAGTAGTTGATGCAAAAGGATGTTTCTGACATCTGACACCATTATTTTCTGTTGACCACAGCCTAAACAGGAAAGAATCCTATAGTAGTCATTTTCATTTTAGTATAAGCTGATTTCATTTAGTATAAGCTCCTTGTAGCATAAAGTCTCTACAATAAGATGGAAAATATTGGTGGTGGGGGAGGAGGGAGGAATGGGAAGTATAGACAATGAGGTGCTTTCTTTTGCAACTAAAGTCATAACTGGTTCTTCTCAAGGCTCTAATGGAAACCAAAGGTAACGAGGTATGAAAAGAGTGTCCTGCCTCTTGGACTTCACAGCTCCCTTGGGGAACGGGGTGGGGATAGGGAAATAGTGAGTGTGTTGGCTATCCTTTGATAGCCATGGTGGTGTTCTGGGGACAGCTCATTCCAGCCCTTGAGAGCCAACTGTGGACTTTTCTTCCCAAGCTCACATTCAGTGATACCATGTTGGTAGTTTGAAATTGGCCATGGTGGGAGTGTTTACACCACAGAAATTGGCAAATGCTATAAAGCAGGGCTTCCCTCACCCTCTGCAGAGCCAGTTGTCACACATTTACCAGCACACCACTGAGTCCATGGCCCAAGCGTACTACTGCTTCCCAGGGGAGGCACAGGGAGCAACTGGACTGCCATTCAGAAATCTCTGAGAAGGTTAAAAAATGGAGAGCAGGGGTTTAGGATGAATGGACCAAGAAAATGATTCAAGAAAGTTAAGGAAGCCAAGAATTTGGAGTTTGGATACAAGACCTTTTCTTATCTTTCACCATTTTGGAAATGCAGTGGCCATTTGTGACCCGGTTCTGAGAATTAAACCATGTGTGGTATTGAGAAAATTATCCTCACAGATGCTGACTGTACCTTTTACCCTACCGACTTCTCTGCTAAAACTATTACTCCCAATAAAAGTATTAAGAATGTGTGCAAAAATTTAGTCTTCAGGAGGTACCCCACAGCATTCATTATCATGCAGTATAATTTGGAACCACCTAATGTCCCACAACGGAAATTCTGTTTAACTTTATTATAGTGGGTCCATGTAAGTGGATACTCTTCAGCCTTTAAATACTCTTCTAACATTTGATTTTTAGTGTTATGGGAGAAGAGATGCAATAAAAAGTGAGAGAGCAAGTTCTAAAGCAGAATAATTTCAATGATGACAGTTTTATAAAATACTGGGGGCCCAGAGCACGAATTCATGCACCTTGAAAGGAACTGTGGACCGTGAGGCTGTGGTGGACACAGGGGCAGATCTTGGCCCAACCTCTGCGCCCCCGCTTGGTCCCTCCCGCCACGGACCCAGGTCCCCTCACTGCCAGCAGTCCCGCTCCCGCCACCACCGCTCCCACACACTGACGATGCCGGCCCTGCCCTGCTCGCACCCACAGATGACACGCAGCAATTGGGGCCAGCAGCAGGTGCAAGCGTCGGGTGGGATTGTGGCGCACGGGAGCAAAGAATTTTCAGTAACCACCAGAGGCTCACCCCAATGACAGTGACCGGTGCTCTACCTTGGTCTGACACCCCGGCTCACCTGCTCCACCCTCCCACCATGGCCAATGCCTGCCATGTTCCGTGCTCTGCTGCCTGCTGCCAACGCCCACCATGTTCTGCATGCGCCTCCTAGTGGTCAGCGCACATCATAGCAACCGGTTGTTTCGCCATTTGGTCTATTTGCAATATATATATATTTATATATATATGCCTTGCCCTGGTCAGGTTAGCTCAGTTGGTTAGAACGTCATCTCCATAAACCAAGGTTTTAGGTACTATCCCCGGTCAGGGCATATACAAGAATCAACCAATGAATGCATAAATAAGTGGAACAACAAATCTCTCTCTCTCTCTCTCTCTCTCTCTCTCTCTCTCTTTCTCTCTCTCTCCCCCTTTCTCTCTGAAATCAATCAATAAAGGTTATAGAGTAGTAGAGTAGTTAACTTTGAGTGAAGGAGTTAATTGTAACTTTTCTGTTTTACATTACTTTTTGAAATAAGAAAAAAAGAAATACTATTTTTTAAAGTCATTTCTCCACCTAGATAATCTGATAAGTTAAAACAAAAAAAATTGTTTATCTATATAAAAGTAAGGCTACTTTAATTAATGAGATTTAATAACCATTATGCCTAATAGGCAACATAGCAAAAATTATGAAATCGTTTATTGTACCTGAAACAACTATTACTATTCTTTCCCTCCCTCCCTTTCCCATCTTCCTCCTCCTTCTCCTCTTTCTCCTTCTGATAACAATAACATTGACTAAGCATTTTCCATGTATCAGCTATGGTGCCAGGTAAATGAGACACATTAACTCATTTATTCTTAAAAACAAACAAACCACGAACGTATGAAATAGTTACTATTTCCCATGTAAATACCATAGTACATCTCCATGTAACAGATGCAAAAACAGAAACAGTCAATAACTTGTCCAAATCCTCATAGCCAAATAAGTGCCAGACCCAATATCAAACCTTTGTTAATAGAATCACGCATTTGATGCTGAAACAAATAATGAAATTAATGCTTGTCACTCATATGGTCAAACCTTTTGAAAAAATGGTAGGCTCAACATTGAAAATGTTAAGACAGATTCACAGTTTTAGTCCGATGAATTCCTTGGCTGTGGTAATAAACAGTCTGGGAGACTAAACAGCTGCAATGCAATGACCCACACTGGGTGCTCACTCCAAACACGAAGGAACTTTTCACCTATAAACTCCCAACGTGACTGAGAGGCAGTCAGTAGAGTTTGACTTGGTCAGGCCATCCCTAACCACTGAGCGCCTCAGGAATCCAGGGCTCCGTGCGTAGGTTCTGGGGACACAGCAGCAGCAAACAAGGTGAGCACAGGCTCTGTCCCCGTGGAGTATGCAGACTTACAAGAAAGAGCGAGGAACTCAGTCAGCAAGATGCTGCCAGGATGGAGATGCACGGGGTTCCCTGTGAAGCTGCCACGCTCCCTTTGACATGATGGGCACACTCATAGCTACATTCAGTCACAGCTTAATCTTATCCTACTTTTTTTAAGAAAGATGACAGCTTTAGCAACATTTTTTCTCTCCTTCTTTATCTTGACATCTGCTCTTCCATATCTTTGTGAACTGATTCCAAGTGTTCATACTCAACAAACTAAAAAAGACCAGGACTACTGCCAAACACCTCTGAGCACTAGTCCAGAGTGTGAGACCTGGCAAGACTAGTGGTGAGGTGGCTGCAGTAGTGGCATTTCCAAGATTCCTCTTGAAGGAAATATTAACCCTCCCACTGCTCGGCCCCTGTTCCTTTAATAAAAGCACTTTGCTTCCTACCCAGTAGTAGATTTCCGGGAACCGCCCTGACACACACACCCCTCAAGGTACCCACGGATTGCCTTTTCTCCGTAGAGAGGGAATTGTTCCGTGAGATGTCTGGGGGACTTATGCTCTTCCCTTCGAGATAATATGAGTGTTACCCAGCAGAGGGCAGGATTGCACAATGCACCCTAGCTCCTCTCCTGTTAGAATAAACTGAAGAGAGAAGATGGCATGAATAGATTTCCAGCATCAGGGCAGATCAAAGCACAGAACAAATGATTGGCTGTGTGCTTAGAGAAGACAGCAGGAGAAACATTCTGGGCTGGGAGTCAATGTGTGTGGGTCCCAGTGTGGGGAGTCACTTCACTGATAGGTCTCTTTTGTGCCAGTCTCAGCCTATGGATAACCAATGCTATGGCTGGGCCAGCCCTTGTAGTTCTTATTATGACCACAAGACACCTTCAGCCATAACTATCAGGAAACTATGGGAAAAATGAAGAGTTTCTTACTTACAAGTCCTGAAAAGTACATGGCACACCTAGGACCACACTGCGAGGGTGCAAGTAGAAAGAGAGAGAGCGGCCTGGGGTTCTGCTTTTACTGGGGTGGAGGGTGGAGCCTAGGCTATCTGCAGGTGAACTTAAAACATAAGAGTGGGAACTGAAAGCCCAGCAAGAGAGAAAACAAGCAGCCCAAATGGTCAGTTACTAAAATCAAACAAGATCTCTAAAACACAGGAGGGGTGGGGCTGGGTTTTTTTTTTTAACCTAGCCTTGAATGGCTCATAATCAAAGCTTGTCAGCACCTGCATTTTAACAACAAAAGCCAACAGTGGGAGCCTACACTTCAGGGTCTCAATTTCCCCAGCTGTACAGTACAGGCATTCTCTTGGATTACCTACCCTGCAGTTACACTCTTGAAGTTGTCATCTTTTAACATGCAAATGGAGTTTGTGATCTGGGAGTGGGAGTAAGAAGGTGAGATGACTCACACCTGGTGACTCCAAGTCTCCTCCAAATAGAGGGCAAGATTCTCCTCGGAGTCAGAGTCAGAGGCTGCTGTTGGCTGCAGTTGCAGTAACAATAACAGGCTACTATTCACGGATGTCCAGGCAGATGTAAATCACTTGACATGGACTTAATTCATTTAATCCTCCCACCTTCCTCGTTTTCCCGTGGGGGTCCAAAGGCAGAAAGAGGAAGTAAACTGCCCAGGAGTATGATGCTGGGAAATGCTGGAGCTGGGATTTGAACTCCAGAAAAGAAGCTCGCAGCTGCTCTCTGTTACCACCTTCAAGGATTTGGGGAATGGAATGAGCTGACCAAAGACAACTATGGGTCCTTATTTGGACCAAGATTAGCTCATTCGGTCACTTACTCACGTCCTGTTTCAGTAAAGGTATACCAAGTGCCTACTGTGTCCCGGGAACTTCATTAAGCACTAGAACCATTAAATGTGTGATAATGGTATCCTGTCCAGTCACCTGGTTTTCTACCACCAAGCCTGGGGGTAGAACGAATTCAACACTGACCTAGGGTTGAGGTTTTGCTGGGCAGGCACAAGTGAAAAGTGGGCTTTGGGGTGGTGGCAAAAAATCCTAGGGAGACAATTACCATGAGGTCCAGCAAAAAACATGAGTTACCTCCTAAGTTGCAGCTGGTCTAGATTTCATGCATCTGCCTTTCCCCCCCTCCAGCTTTTCCCATCACAATCCTCACTCTCTGTTGCTACATGGGCCAGTGGCACCAGAACAATGGCCAGGAGTATAAGTTCCATCATAGCTCTGCGACCCGGAAAAACCAGTCACTGTCTCCGAGTTCATCTCCCTCACCTGTAAACGAGGCTCCGTTCATCTCGATTAGTGGAATATTTTTGAACCAAGTAGAATGTTCCTGGTACAGTGCTTCAGGCTGAGGACATAGAAAACAACAATTTTGCTCCTCAAAGAGTTCACATTCTAGCACATCCTACATGTTTGTTTGTTTTTCTTGTGAGTATATAAATATTGTTTACTGCTAGTCCAGAAAGTTTTCTTTCTTTCTTCATTTTTTTTAACCATCACCTGAGGGTATTTTTTTTTTCTGGGTTTGTTTTTTGTTTGTTTTTTTATTGTCTAAAGTTTTACATAAGTCTCGATTTTCCCTAATTGACCGCTCCCCTCTCCAGCCATTCCCACCCTGGGCAAGCCCCCACCGCCCCAGTGTCTGTGTCCATTGGTTATGCTAATATGCATGCGTACAAGTCCTTTGGTTGCTCACTAACCCTCCCCCCCTCCCCTGCCATTTGTCTCTGGATCTATTTTTGTTCATCAAATTATGTTGATCATTATATCCCACATATGAGTGAGATCCTGTGATATTTATCTTTCTCCGACAGGCTTATTGCGCTTAGCATAATGCTCTCCAGTTCCACCCAGAAATCTATGCCCTTTTTATACACCAATAATGAACTCACAGAAAGATAAATGAAAAAAAAATCCCATTTACCATTGCACCAAAAAAATTAATATACCTAGGAATGAACTTAACTAAGGAGGTAAAAGACCTGTACTCAGAAAACTACAGGACATTGAAAAAAGAGACAGAAGAAGACATAACCAAATGGAGTAACATACCATGTTCATGGATTGGTAGAATCAACATCATTAAAATATCCATACTACCCAAAGCAATCTACAGATGCAATGCAATTCCCATTAAAATACCAACGGCATAGTTCAAAGATCTAGAACAAACTCTCCAAAAATTCATCTGGAATAAAAAAAGACCCCAAATAGCCACAGCAATCCTGAGAAAGAAGAACAAAGTTGGAGGGATCACAATACCAGATATCAAGCTATATTACCAAGCCACAGTTTTCAAAAACTGCCTGGTACTTGCACAAGAACAGACATATAGACCAACGGAACAGAACAGAGAACTCAGAAATCAACCCAAGTCGTTATGCTCAATTAATATTTGACAAAGGAGGCAAGAGCATACAATGGAGTCAAGACAGTCTCTTCAGTAAATGGTGCTGGGAAATTCGATCAGATAGATTTTTTAAATCTATAAAACAATGGTCCTACCTCTGACAGAAGGTTCTACCAGATACCACCTCTACTGCTACAAGTGGCCTATGTTTGGGGGTGCCTAATTTGGGCCAAACGCTATAAATTAATTCTTTTGCCTTTTTTTTTTTTTCTGGGAGGCAGAGAAGACTGATTCTGTCTTTTTAAAATATATATATATATTTTATTGATTTTTTACAGAGAGGAAGGGAGAGGGAGAGGGATAGAGAGCTAGAAACATCAATGAGAGAGAAATATCGGTCAGCTGCCTCCTGCACACTCCCTACTGGGTTATGTGTCCGCAACCAAGGTACATGCCCTTGACCGGAATCGAACCTGGGACCCTTCAGTCCGCAGGCCGACGCTCTATCCACTGAGCCAAACCGGTCAGGGCTGATTCTGTCTTTACCAGCAATTTATTTTAGTGCAGGTTCACTGTGGGAATTATAATAATTTTATAAGCCAATAACATACAGGACAATATCTCTTAATCAGCCAAATAAAGAAATAACATACTCAAAACAAATGACAAACTAATCACACTATAGTTCCAGGTAAGGGGCAATGAGGGGAATACAGTCAAAATTTTAACAGAGATGTACCTTTTTATAGGAGGAAACACTTGGGAGAGATGACACAAAAGTAAAAGCCCCTGTTGCTAGGGCACGTTGCTAGGGAACGAAGACACTGGTGTTGGCAGGAGGGCCCACTTCCTTCCTGGAGCCTCTGTTTGGCTTTTCACCACTGCCCACCAAATAGCCGCCTTGGCAGTGGCAGGAGCTAAATGCCCCAAAGGTCTCCAGAGAATTTCTAGGTTAGCAAAGAGTATTGCCCAAACTGAAACTCTCAAATAGTCCTCACAAATTCTCAGCACTGTATTTCTAGTCTGAAATGTCCCCTTGCCACAGTTGCTTCTCCACATGCTCTTATCCATATGCCCCCAGCGAGGCCCCTCAGCATCTGGGCTGCTGACTGTTTATCAATGACAACAGATGTGAAATAATGCCATCCTGGCACGACTTACTTCATTCTTATATCAAAGCAACTATTTTTTTTTTTTGTCTTTGTCCTAAAAAATTAGATTAAAAATTCACTTAAATTGTAAACAAGTGGATTTAGGAAATCATATTAAACCAATACATGAGTTATTTTTGTAACCCTTCATCACACCCCTGTACAGCAGATACAATTATTCTTCCCAATTTCCTGTTGGAAAACTGAGGATTAAAAAGATTCAGTTACTTACCAAAAGTCACATTGACAGTAAGAGGTAGTAGAACCAGGATTCCCGTACAAGCCGGTCTGAAACTAGTGCTTAGGACTGCATGTAAGCACAGAACAAGGGACCCAGCTCTCCTAGGATGTGAAAATTCAAGTCAACGATTTCAGGTGAGGCTTGTCTCCATTCTTGAGAATGAACTGTGTTGTTAGTCTTATCAATCCCTCTCCTAGAATTAAATTTCTCTAGTGACTCTTCAGTCTTTATCAAGAAAAGTTGGCTTAATAGGCAGAACTGGAATTTGAGGAAACTAGATTTCTCCAAATGGTTCCCATAACTTTTGATCCAGAGCTCTTCAACAGAGATGTGAAAAGATGTGAAATATTCATTTGATACATAGTCGAAAAAATAACACAGTTTTGTCTTGGCTAATTCATAGCTGCTGGTTGAATGATGCCATTTTTTCTCCCCCGGGCCTGCCTTGGAAATAGCACAATTATGGGAAAGGGCTGTCAACACTAATCCCTCCATCATGCACTCAAAAAGTCCCAGGGAATCTGAAATGCTAAGAAGTTCCGATCTGCTGGAAAACATCTGTAAATCACAGATCTTTTCATTTTAATGAACACAGTGGAAAGTTTCAGCTTCAACGACTTAGCAAATTCCTGAGCCATCGTTGAAGTCTTGTGTCCTTTCCTTTGCTAAGCCAAAGACTGAAACGGCCTTGAAAGTTATGTTTAAGAGTGTAGAGCCAAGATGGCTGTTATAGTTGTTAATGTTTAAAATGACACTTCAGGCACTCCAACTAACCTAAACAAACTTGAGTAGGCTATTGATCATTTTTTTAAAAAAGTTTTTAAAGTTATAATCGGTACACCATGCAATTCATTTAAATGCACAGTTGAATAATTTTTAGTAAATTTTCAGAATTGTGCCACCAGCACCACAATTCAGGTTTAAGACATTTCCATCACCCCAAAGATCCTCATGCCAGTCTGCAGTCACTCTTCATTTCCCACTCCCAGCCCCAAGAAATCCCTATTCTCCTTTCTGTCTCTAAAGGTCTGCCTTTCCTGGACATTGCATAGGTGGGCTCACACATAAAATATGTTTGCACCTGGCTTGTTCCCTGTAGCATTTTTTGAGGTTCATCCACGTTGTAGTATGTAACACAGCTTGGCTCCTTTTTCTTGCTGAATAGTGTTCCACTGTACAGATGTAGCACATGTTATTCATTCATTCACCAGTTGATGGACACTTGAGTGGCTTCCACTTTCTGACCATTATGAACAATGCTGCTATGAACATTCAGGCACAAGTCTTTTTGTGGACATGTATTTGCACTTCTCTCGGGAGGTGCTAGGAATGGAATTGCTGGGTCATAAGAGTAAATCTAGATTTAACTTGCTTTTTTTTTTTTACTTCATTTTGTGGACTAAAAAGGGCCACATGCTAACCTGACAAGCTCAGGGAAGGCCTGCATGGCAGTCTTGCAAACTTAAAGACCTAAAGTAACCACAAAGAATGGTCTGAAATGAAAACTTTAACTAAAAGCAGTTATGGTGGGTAGTCATGTCCTAGGCCGGTATTTCCCCTGACAAGATCAATTTTTACCTTAACTGAGCCTATTGTCTTCTTGCATCTAAGATAACATATCCTTGAAATGTCAGAGTAACTTGTAATGTCCCTTTTCCCTGACCCCTGGGGCACAACCAAAGGCACCTGGGCACCAGGACCAGGACTAGACCATAAATTCCTTCATTGTTATTGTTATCATGTTACTTGTTGACTGTTAACTATCCTATACTCACCTAAGTAATGTGTCTATCATTTTACTTTTTATCCAATCCCAGAGGTCCCCCTCCTCCACTTTGCCTTCTCCTGCCTCCCTAATCTATCACCAATGGATTTCATGTAACCCACTTACATCTCCTCCTTTAAGGCAAGGTATAAAACAAGGTGAAAAACCACCATTCTCCGGAGCATTATCCCAATCCGTTGAGATTCTGCTTCTCAGCAGTTGTCGACAGTTTGGCTCAAATAAACTCACAAATATTCTTTACAGGTTTGAATGCTTTTATGTCAACAATTTGTTTCACTTTCCTTTTTCTGTGTAACTTTTTAAAAAAATATATTTTATTGATTTTTTACAGAGAAGAAGGGATAGAGAGTTAGAAACATCGATGAGAAACATCGATCAGCTGCCTCCTGCACACCTCCTACTGGAGATGTGCCTGCAACCAAGGTGCATGCCCTTGACCGGAATCGAACCGGGGACCCTTTAGTCCGCAGGCCAACGCTCTATCCACTGAGCCAAACCAGTTAGGGCTCTGTGTAACTTTTTAAGAAACTGCCAAACTGCTTTCCAAAGTAGCTGCACCATTTTACCTTCCCATGCTGATCATCCTATATAATAAAAGCGTAGTTTGCAAATTGTCCCCTCGACCAGGAGTTCATCAGGGTGTTCAACCAGGGGGCAGGGCTGGCCGGGGAAAGGGAGGGAGTACCTGGCCGGCAGCCGGCAGCCACTAGGGACCCTCCCAGTGCACAGATTTTGTGTGTTGGGCCTCTAGTTTTTAATAAGACACATTAACAGCAGCATGAGTTTTCTACGTTGTTGCATTAACTCCACAATGTTGGGAAT